GGAGCTAGCTCTGACAACAACCCAGACACTGGCCATCAACCCTGCCAGCCTGCTTCCAGATGATGATCCAGAGGAACCCATTCATGACTGTATAGAGGTAACAGACGTGGTACTGTTCTCGGATGGGAGCAGTTATGTTCAGGATGGGATCTGATATGCAGAGGCAGCAGTAGTCACCCTGGACCACACCATTTGGGCACAATTCTTGAACTTTTGACCTTAATCCAGGTCCTTTGATGGGGACACTGGGCCATCCACAGGGAAAGAGGATTACCAACTGCAGCCGGGAAGGAGGAATTGGCTGAACAGAAGCAAGCCATCAAAGGACCAGATGCTTGGTGGACCCTCTAGATAGCAGACTGTTGGTCCCAGAGGCTCTAGGTCGGACGTTAGTTGCCCAGTTACAGCAGGTTACCCACTTAGGTGTCACCAAGACTTTTGAACTTCTGTAAGGCAGATACTACTAAGCTTAGATAAGGTAATTAACAGCATAATCATTAAAAGTACTGTCTGTGCACAGGTAAATACTAAACAAGGTAAGGGGGTCCCCCCCCCCTCCGGGAATTCTGGCCCTAAGGAAATTCCCTAGGAGAGTTTCCTTAGGAGGTGGATTTCAGAGATTAAGCCACCAGCATTACTAGTACATGCTAGTTTTTGTAGACACCTCAGATTAGGACAGAAACTGCCTCCAGAAGATTATACCTAGATTCAGGCTGCCAGTAGTCATAGGATCAGATAATAGCCCCACCTTTGTAGCAAGGTATCTCAAAGTATAGCTCAAGCCTTAGGACAGGCATGATTAGGACTCTTAAAAGGAGTTTAACTACAAACTGGTGAAAATTGGACCAACCTCCTGACCTTTGCCCTCTTATGGGCCAGGTGTACCCCTACTGGGATGGGTTTCCCCCTTTTGAGATCATGTATGGTAGACCTCCCTCCATCCTTCCCAGGATCAGGGAGAAGCAGAAAACTTCAATTCATAACCATTCCCTTGCTCAAGTCCTTACAGGCTCTGCAGTATACCCAGATATGCAATGCCAGTGCCCACTGCAGTCCCTGTATACCCCTTCTAGCCCGGGAACTCAGTATGGGTAAAGAAGTTCACTGCCCAAGGACTCACCCCAACTCAAAAGGACGCTACACTGTTATCCTGAGCATGCCCATGGCTCTTGAGAAAGTCCGGGGCTGAGTAGTTGTGCTAAGGAACAGGAGAGCAGGAAGAGAACAGCGAATGCTCTTCAAAGGAAGTTGCTGAGTCAATGATTTGACTCATGCACATAAAACAAGGGGGGAATGAAAGGGCAGCGCTGGGCTAACTCCTGATCCTCCATTTTGTAACTGGACCCTAGCCCTCACCCAACCAATCGGGGTCAGCCAAAGCAATGACATCACCACCCTTATAAAACTCATTGATCTGTTGTAGCTCGCTCTCTTCTGCCACACCACTGCTGGTGTAAGTGGGACAGAACCCATGCTAGCATAGAATACAGGCTTTCTGCTAATGCACTGGACTCGGCCCCCGGGTGGTCTTTGGTGATCACGAAATCTGGGCATAATAATACAGAGTTCCAAACAATTGTTATAAGTATGCTCAAGGAACTTCACAGCACAAAAAAGGATATAAAATCCATTAAAAAAAAAAAAAGATGTAATCATAAATGAAGGTTATAGTCACTGAAATGAAGAATAATTTACAGGGGCTCAACAGTAGAGTAGATTGAAGCCAAGAATAAAATCAGAAAATTGGAATATAAGGAAACAAAAAACACAATCAGAACAGTAAGATGAAAAAGGACTCCAAAAAAAATGAAGATATAGTGTAAGGAGCCGCTGGGACAACTTCAAGCACACTAATATTTGCATTATGGAGGTGCCAGAAGAAGAGAGAGAGTAAGAAATTGAAAATGTATTTGAAAACACAGTGATAGTAAACTTCCATATCCTGGAAAAGAAAATAAACATGCAAGTCCATGAAGCTCAGAGAGTCCTAAACAAAATAACTCAAAGAGCCCTACACCAAGAGACATCATAATTAAAATGCCAAAGATTAAAGACAGAGTGAGAACTTAAAAGCAGCAAGAGAAAAAGCAGTTAGTTACCTACAGAGGAGCTCCCATAAGACTGTCAGCTGCTTTTTTTTTTTTTTAATATATTTTATTGATTTTGTACAGAGAGGAAGGGAGAGGGATAGAGAGTTAGAAACATCGATGGGAGAGAGTCATCGATCAGCCGCTTCTTGCACACCCCCTACTGGGGATGTGCCCGCAACCAAGGTACATGCCCTTGACTGGAATCGAACCCGGGACCCTTCAGTCCCTAAGCTGACGCTTTATCCATTGAGCCAAACCGGTTTTGGCTGTCAGCTGCTTTCTTAACAGAAACATAACCCAGAAAGGATTGGCAAGAAATATTCACAGTGATGAAAAGCAAGCATCTACAATCAAAATTTTGCTACCCAAAAAAGCTATCATCTAGAATTGATGGAAAGGATAAAGAACTTCCCAAGTAAGAAAAAGCTAAAGGAGTTCATTATCACCAAACCAGTATTATATGAAACTAGGGGCCCAGTGCACGAATTTGTACACCTTGAAAGGACCTGTAGGCCACTAGGTTACAGTGGGCACAGGGGCAGATCTCAGCCCATCCTCCTTGCCCCTGCCGAGGCTCTCCTGCCACAGCCGAGGGGAGTCTTCCAGGAGTCCTGCTCTTGCTGCTGCCGCTGCCACTCCCACATACTGAAGGCACTGGCCCCACTTGCACCCACTGATGGTGCAGAGCAATTGGGACCAGTGACAGCAGCAGGTGTGAGTGGTGGCTGCTGTCCTGATAGCCCCTCAAGAGCAGGGGGAAGTGGAGAAGCCTTCAGTGGCAATCGGGGTTAGCAGCTGCTGCTTGCACCCACTAACAGTGCCAAGTGATTGGGACCAGCACCAGGCACTGGCAGTGGTTGTGAGCAGCAGCTCTGGTGCCAGCTGCAGGTGTGAGCAGGGCCAGCACCAGCAGTGGGTGCAAGCGGCAGCTCTGGTACCAGCAGCAGGTGTGAGTGGGGCCATCACCAGAAGCAAGTGCAAGAGACAGCTGCTGGCTCTGATCGCCCCTCAGGAGCAGGTGGAGGTGGAGAATCCCTGAGGGGAGATTGGGGTCGGCAGCCACCACTTTCACGTGCTAATGATGCCAAGTGATCAGGGCCAAGCTGGGTGCTGGCAGTGGGTGCAAGTGGTGGCTCTGGCATTGGCAGCAGGTGCGAGTTCCAGGCAGGACCATGGCATGTGGGAGCAACGAATTTTCAGTAGCCATCAGAGGCTTGCCCTGATGACAGTGACTGGTGCCCCACCTTGGTCTGGCGCCCCCACTCACCTGCTCCACCATCCCGTCGTGGCCAACACCTGCCATGTTCCACATGTGCCCCATGGTGGTCAGCACATATCATAGTGCCCAGTTGTTCAGTTGTTCCATAGTTTGGTCTATTTGCATATCAGCCTTTTATTATATAAGATGTTGAAAGATCTTCAAGAAGAAAAAGGAGGAGGAGGAGCAGGAGGAGGAGGAGAAGGAAGAGGAGAAGGTGGAGGAGAAAATGAAGAAGGAGATGAGAAAATGAAGAAGGAGGAGGAGGAGGAGGAAGAGAAGGAGGAGGAAGAAAAGGAGGAGGAAGAGAAGGAGGAGGGGGAAGGAGAGAGAAAAATATGAACAATAAAATGGCAATAAATATTTACCTCTCAACAACTAACTAAAAAAATAAAACTAACAAGCAGAATAGAAACAGACTCAGATACAGAAAACATTTTGAGGGTTGCTGGATGGGAGGGGAGTTGGCAGATGGGTGAAAAAGATGAAAGGATTAAGAAGTACAAATAGTTGTTACAAAATAATCATGAAGATGTAAAGTGTGGCAATATAGTCAATATAGTCAATAATCCTATATAATAAAAGCCTAATATCCTAAGTGTCTGGTTGTGCAGTTGGCCATTCAACCAATCAAAGCATAATATGTTAATGATAAGCTAAGGTTGCTCAACTGCTCGTTATGATGTGCACTAATCACCAGGGGGCCAATGCTCCAACCAGTAGGTTAGCTTGCTGCTGGGGTCTGGCTGATTGGGACTGAGTAAGACTGGCCAGACATGCCCTGGAGCCCTCTCGCATTCCCTCTCCAGCTAGTCAACCTCTCGCATCTCTCCCTGGTCTCAACTGTGCACCAGTAGGGTCCCTCCACCTGGCCTGTGCCCTCTCGCAATCAGGGACTCTTTGGAGGATGTTGGAGAGCTGGTTTTGGCCCAATCCCACAGGCCAGGCCAAGGGTCCCCACTGGTGCACGAATTTGTGCACCAGGCTTCTAGTATTTTAATAAGTGTGTATGATGTTCAAAGGTACAAGATTTATCGGGATGATCACTTGATAAGTTATGGCAAATCACTGGGGTGTACACCTGAAACAAATATAATATTGTATGTCAACTGTAATTGAAAAATAAAAAGATATTAAGAGGCAAAAAATAAGAGCTAAAATGAATTGAGTGATGCAGATACCTGTGGTAAGAGCCAGAGACTAGCATGTGCAAAGGCCCTGGGCCACCATACCTTGGCTTTGTGTTCAGGGACAGCAGGGAGGCCAATATGGCTAGAGGGCTGGAGAGGTTAGGAGGTCAGACTGGTAAGCAGAGGATTTATTCACCCCTCCATCACCAGTACTAAGAAGTAAGCCCAGAGCATAGTAGGTGTTCAAGGAAAACATGGTGAATGTTTACATATGATACTTTAATGCCAAAGCACAGGGGTGGTAGTGAAAATTCTGAATAGACAAATTAAGCTTCCTCCTACCCAAGCAAGAAATTAAATAGGGTTGTTCATTTGTCACCAAACAAATAGGGATTGTGACCTTACACACCCTTGGGATGTACTCCAGGTCATTCTGCTGCCCAGGGTTGAAGCCTGAGCTTCATGAGTGACCTCACAATGTCCAGGGTGGTGCCCGGCCCACTGCCACAGTCCCAGTCCACCATGATGACCACCCTGTGGCTGCTGCTCATCTTTGCTGTCCCACTACTGGGTTTCTACATTCCCATCAGCTGTCCCCATAGCAAGTGGTGCCAACGAGCCCTACTTTCCAACAATGATGTCTCTCTGTATTGCAACTCGTCTGGAGCACAGTGGTTCTACCACTTCCTACAAGCTGGGACCAGCTGGTCCATCCGCCCCCTCAGTGTTTCAAACATAGAAGCAATATCTGAAAGCAGCATTCTCATTAGAAACCCATTGCCATCCCAGTCTGGCTTATACACCTGCCGGAACAAGAAAGACATCCAAGTGGTGCAGTATGAGATTGACTTCCAGGACGTTAGAACCCTGCACATTACACACAGAGCTCTGGGCCAGAAGCCCTTGCAGAATGAGAGCCTTAGTCTGGGCAGCAAGGAGATCATCTTCACCCGCTGGGAGCCCTGGCAGGACTGTAACCGCTGCGGAGAGCCTGGGGAGCGCAAACGCCTGGGGTACTGCTACATCCAGGAGCCTCTGGGGAACTCCGTCCCCTGCCTGCTCTACCTGGGAAATGCTAGGCTGTCGTCCAGCCGCATGCGACCTGAGATGCAGATAGAAGCCTGCCATGTCCAGTGTGAAACATCAAATGTGGAGAACATTGCTTTTGACAACTTCGAGCTCAGTGAGGAGTCAGGATCTGCATGGCTCACCTGCTTCTTAGGATCCATCTATAGGTAATGGACATGTGCACCAGCCCTGCCCTTGGCCCCTAGCCAGGCTCTATCAGTCTGAGAGCCTTCAAGATTAATCCATGCAGAGAAGGGGGGGGTCCCTACATGGACCAGCCACCCAGGCTCTGCACTGGCTTCTCCAGATGTTCCTTTGGTAAGAATCCCCTGGCCCACACACTATTGCCTCACACAACCAGAAGAGCATCTAACATCCAGGGAGGGTTCAACTGACTGTGCCTGGCCCAGTGCTGTGGCCATGGTAGTCTTCAGACTTTCTGCCCTCAGGAAGCCACCGGCCCAGCAGCAAAGCAGCCCAGAGTGGTCAGGGCCGGGACGGGAGAAGCCCAGGCCAGTGGAGGGGCTGTACTGGGGGAAGACTGGGAAGCTGTGGGGCTCTGAGGCCTCTGACTCATCTGGGAGGTCAGCAGGCTCCAGAGGAGAGGACAGTGCCCTAGGCATGCCCTTCAGGGCCTGCCTCCCGCAGCTCACTCATGTACTTGTCTTCCTGCCTGGAGCCCCTGGGAAATCTCCCCTTTTTTCTTCTCTTCCCCAACCCACCTGTCCCTACCCCCGCGATAAAAACTACAACCACTCCTGGTTTCACTGGGGCGGGTCTTAGGCAAACTCTCTTCACAAACGGCACCCTCTCCCATCCCTCCACTCTGGCCCAGGACCTGTGGACCCCAAGGAAGTTCACTGATAGGTGGGGGATTGCCACTGGAAGGGAGACTTGTGGTGGGATGGCAGTGCAGACCCTTAGTCTCACACACACACCAAGAGGTCCCCTATGCCCTCCTCCCCCACGCACCCCAGTGGCAGCCCCTCCCTTGCAAGGGGCGAGCCATCGCAGCCTCTTGGGGCCTCTGCAGCTACGGGCTCTAGGGAATCAGGCCTCACCACATCCACCTGATTTTCCTTTCCTTGTTTATTCCTATTGTGACTTGTATTTCTCTTTGTTCTCATGCTCCTGCCATTTTGTCTCCCTTCCTCCTTCCTCCCCCTTTAGGTATAAAAGCAACATCTACTCTCTAAAAAATACCACAATGCATAAGTGCAGGAAAGTGCACTATGAATCCCTCCTCCCATCTAGAACTGGGACATCTATTCCCTGTCCTTGGCCAGGCAAAGTGTTCCCAAGTGCTGGTCATTGGGAACTTGAGGGAAGAGGCAAGAGAGGTCACTGAGGCTTCAAGAATTGTCCATGTCTTTAGGGAGCTCAGTGGAGTGGCACTTTGTATGAGGTTTTTGTCTCAAGCTCTGGGCTCTGCTGGGCCAGGTTCTGATCCCAGCTCTGCCATTTTCCAGCTCTGTGACTTTGGCCTCTGGTGTCTCTTTAGGCCTCAGTTTCCCTGTTTGTAGAATAGGGGTTGTATTGGTTTGCTAGGTCTGCCATTACAAAGTATCACAAACTGGGTGGCTTCAACCAATAGCAATTTATTCTCTCATAATTCTAAAGGCTAGACATCCAGAATCAAGAGGTCAGCAGAGCCTTGTGCTCTCTGAGATGCTGGTAGAAACCTTGCTTCTTCCTGTCTCCTGGTGGTGGCTGGCATCTGGGCCTTTCCTGGTTTATCTCTGCCTCTGACATCACTTGGCGTTAGCCTGGGGTGCCCGTGTCTCTGTGGCTCTTCTCTCTTTCTTCCTTCCTTTCCTTCTTTCCTTTCCTTCTCTGTCTTTTTTTTCTTTCTCCCTCCCTCTTTCCCTCCCTCTTTCCCTCTCTCCCTTCCTTCCTTCCTTCTTCTTTTTTTTTTTTTTTTTTTTTTTTTTAGAAAAAGGCTGGAGGGTGCCCACATGTCTCTAACCACCCTCACTAGCAAGAGTGGTTGGCAAACAGAGGCTTGGCTAGAAGGAACCGCTGAGCTAAGGCCAGTCCACTCCCCCTCTCTTTTTTTTTTTTTTTTTTTTTTTTTTTAAGACATGAGTCATATTGGATTTAGGACCCATGATACTGCAGACTGACCTCGTCTTAACTGATTATATCTGCAATAACCCCATTTCCAAATAAGGTCACTTTCTGAGGTCTGATTAAAACCTCCCTCTCCAACGCAGTACAGAGGTCTTGCTGGCCCTGGCCTCATGGGGTCATTGTGTTGTCTAAGGGGACAAATGACTGGGAAGACACAACAGTGCCTGATAAACCACTCCACACTGACAGGTGTTACTGCCTGCATGATTATTGGCCCAGCCAGTGTTGTCTTCTAAGTGTCCCTCCGTTCCCCACAATGGGTGCGTTATATGCCTCATCGCTTATTTGCTTTCCACATTATTCACTTACAATGCTATGCAGTTACCACTGAGTGTATTTATAAGCCAAGCACTGCTCTAGGTACCTGGGATGCAGCACAAAACAAAACTGAAGAGTCCTGCCCTCATGGAGCAATAACTGATCACATGAATAAAACATTCAGTATTTTAGGTGGTGATAAGGCAGTAAGGGGGGATGGGAGTGGGTGAGGTGAAATTTCAAATAAGGAGGTTAGGGACGGTATCTCTGAGAAGGTACGTGTCAGCCAAGACTGAATGAGGTGAGGGAGCCAAGAGCGCTGAGGGCAAGCCTTCCAGGCAGAGGGAGCACCAGGGGCAAGCCCCAAGGCAGGACCCTGTTCAGCCTGTCAGGGAAGCATCAAGGAGGCCAGAATGGTGGGGGCAAAAGGGAGGGCAGAGTGGAGGAGACAACCCAAGTAGGTACTGGGGCACAAATCAGCACTCGCTAATGCCTCTGAATGAACTCAGGCAGGTACAGTTACTACACCCCCCAGGGTTCACGTGGGGAAATGTAAGCTCAGACAGCTGGGGCCTGTGGCCAAGTCCTCCACTTAGTAAGGGGGAGGGCTCCAAAACCTCTCAGCCGTCCTGCCCCCACCTTGCTCCCTTGCTCCCTGCTGCCAAGTGCTTCTCAGAGGGAGTGCTGTCTCTCCTTCCCTCGGACATTTGTCCTTTCCTCCCTGGGGGCTGCCGCTGACCTTGTCATTCTCTCCAGGCCCATCATCTGGGAAGCCGACAGCAAGCCCTTGACCTGGCAGGGCCAGCTCTCCGGCCAGGACCTGAGCACCATCCTGGACCCTGCCACTGGGGGTAGGCGACTGCAGGTTTTCCGGCCAGCCATTTACAAGTGCTTCGTGCACCATGAGCTGGTGGCTCGCTTCAACCCCAGGTCCCATGTGGATCCACTGGAGGTTCTGCAAAGAGAGGAGGCTAGACAATGGCGGGAGGCAGAAGAGGCACAGAAGGGGAAGAGCAACTATTCCCTCCACCTGCTGCTGCTGCTGGTGGGCACCATGCTGAGCCTGCTCGGGATGCTGCTCAGGCTCTTCTGCCCTTCCCAGAGTAAAACAGGTGCTTCTGGTGGAATAAAGTGAGACTACTGTGCTCAGGAGACCTGGCCGCCTGTGCCATCGTCACCTCAACTGTCCTTTCTCCAGCCTCTGTCCTGCGCCTCCTCCACACCACACTGTAAAGGTATATGGGTCAGATACCATGCCCACAGCTAAGAGTGACTGCACTCTTCCCTGTCCCAGCTTCTGCTCTATTAACTCATTAGCAACCCCCATTCCACAGATGAGAAACTGAGGCAAGGAGACTACCTGGCTAGTAATTGGAGGCAGAGTGGGGGCTCCAGTTCAAACCCAGGTTGCCTGGCTCACACCCCATATTCCTCACAAGGGAAAGAGGAGGGGTGGAATGAGGCCATTTGGGGGAGGAATGTCTGGGGTTGGTAAACTATAACCACCTTACTCACTGCACTCTCCTAAGGACAAGGACTAAAACAGGGATGGGAATGGGCAACCTCGGGCCCCCCACATCTGCACTGGTCTGCTGCCTTTCTTTGCCTGTCTTTTGCCCCATCCTGCCCTAATTGTGCCTATGGCCTTTTGGCTTCGTTATATCTCTCCAAGTCAGATGGTGCTGCCACAGGGGCGGCCTGGAACAATGGGACACACACCTTTCCTGTCTTGCAGTGGAGAGAGCCCCTTCAGACCCCAAATGGAGACAGGTCCCTCCACCAGGACAAGGGACCAGGCCTAGTCCAGGCAGCCTGCAGAAATCACTGGGACTAACTACTCCAGAAATTATATACACTGTTTGGCAGAGTGAGCAGTAAAATATTAATGGATATTAATGCCTATAAAATTCATTGCCCTGATAGCTCATTGTGAAGCAACTACAGAACAGATCTGAAGCTTCCAAAGCAGAATTTCTGTCACTGAGGAGAGAGCAGAGCTCACCCCTCCCATACCAGGCACTTTTGCCAAAACGCTTAAGGTTTCACATGGTATCCAGAGACCAAAGGATCTTGTAGAATGGGGGATGGCCTTGGAGACTTAAAGAGGGTCCATTGGGAAGCAGAGGCAGAGAATAACAATTATAATAGCAAATATTTGTGGACCTCCTGGTGAGGTCAAAACTCAAACCCTTCAAAAATATTATGTTCTCACAGCCACCCATGAGGCTGCAGTTGGGAAGAGGCCAGTGATGGGAGTGAAAGATGACGTCTGAGCTCCCTCCCCTACTGGCTCCCAGCAGCCCCTAGTATTTTGTGGCTAGAGGTGAAGCAGCCAGAGCCAAGCCTGGTCTGATGCCCAGGCTTATGACTAAAGGTCACATAATCCACACCCAAAGCTGCTGGTGCTGGCACACGAACCCTAAGGTGGCACTAATAATCTCTACCTCCCAGAGTCCCCACCTGAGTGGATTCCCTCCCCTTCAGTGTGGACATCTGTGACACTTCTAACCTGTAGGGCAGAGGCATTTGGATATTTATAACATCACTAGAGGCCTGGTGCATGGGTTCGTGCACCAGTAGGGTCCCTTAGCCTGGCCTGTGCCTTCTCGCAACCCAGGATCCCTTGGGGGATGTCAGACTGCCAGCGTCAGCCTGATCCCTGACAGTCTGACATTCCCTGAGAGATATAGTAGTGCATGAAGCAGAAGGTGGCTGCGGAGGAGCCCATACCACTCCATCCATCCCAGCCCCACTGCCACTGCTCTGTAAGGTAAGCTCGCTGAGTGGCACTCCTGATGTGGGAGTGCATTGATCACCAGGGGGCAGCTTCTGCATTAAGCATCTGCCCCCTGGTGGTCAGTGTGCATCATAGTGACTGGTCAACCTGTCCAGTCATTGGGTCATTCAGTCACTTAGGCTTTTATAGATTCTCAGGCCTTACAAAATTACCAACTTAAAAATTAGCCTGCTATATTTGATCAAACATTTAATTAACTCACCCCTAATGCGTTGGCAGGGCCAGACCAAATTATTTCACAGGCCTTTTATGGGGCCGGACATTCCTCACCCCTGTTATTAAAGATGGCCAAGGATGTCACTCTCTTGATTGGGTTATACCACATAAGCTTCTGTTTCAACCAACTGCAGCTAGACAGGCTGGCTAGCCACATGGCAAATCAGCTTGCTGAGGAAGCCCACTTGGCAGGAAGCTAAAGGCAGCCTCTAGGGGCTGCAAGTAGCCTTTGGAACCTGAGGGTGACAGTCTGCAAAAAGCCAGCTACAAGGCAATAAACTCTGCAAGCCACCTGAATGGATCAGAGGCAGATTATTTTCTAGTCAGTGTCCAAATGAGAATAAGGACTGACCAACACCTTGACTACAGCCTTGGTAGATCCTGAGCGGAGGATTCCTGATACACAGAAATGGAGAAATCATGAATGTGTATTGCTTTAAGCTCCCAAATGTGTGGCAATTTGTAATGCAACAATAGGCAACTAATACACCTACGCATACCCCAAGCCTACCCTCAAGGCTCCTGTAGCTTCAGCAGTTACATGGATGGTTCTTATAGGCACCAGTGGCTTCCAATCTCTCCTCAGGAGCTTGCTGGGCCAAGCATTGGGATGTGGCACTGGCAGCCAAGCAGTTGGTACCCCCAGAAGTATTCCTTGCCCACAAGGAATGGGAGTGAAGGATAGACATCCAGCTTCCCCAGCCCTGGATGGTACAACACTTCCTACATTCTCTTAGAGCAGTGGTCGGCAAACTCATTAGTCAACAGAGCCAAATATCAACAGTACAACGATTGAAATTTCTTTGGAGAGCCAAATTTTTTAAACTTAAACTTCTTCTAATGCCACTTCTTCAAAATAGACTCGCCCAGGCCTATTTTGTGGAAGAACCACACTCAAGGAGCCAAAGAGCTGCATGTGGCTCGTGAGCCACAGTTTGCAGACCATGGTCTTAGAAGATCCCTAGCAACACTAAACTTCAGGAGGGTACTGCTGCAACCAGCTTATTAAAGCACCATCATCAGCTCACCCTCTTCCCTGCCTCGCTTGCTTTCACTTCTGGTTCCCCAAATTATATTTTTTAGCCTCACATTCCCTTTCTATCTCCTGGGATTCTGAGGACATACATTTTGGGCCTGCTATTGTCTCATGGGTCCCTGAGACTGTTAATTTTCCTCCAATCTTCTCGGTTGTTCCAGTTAGAAAATGTTCACTGACCTGTCTTCAAGTTCACTGACTCCTTTCTCTGTCCTCTCCATTCTGCTATTCAGCCCGTTCAATGAACCTTTATTTTGGTTATTATATTTAATTCTAAAATTTTCATCTGGTTGTTCTTTATACCTTCTTGTTGACACTTTTAAATTTAATATTTGCTTTTAGGGGGAACTCTGAGATATTGGGGTTGCTAATTCAATGGCTTCCATGAGCCAAATAGAAAATAAAAATAAGGGGGAAGGCCTTGGGGAACTGTTGTGATGTAGGAGTTATTATACTGGGTTGAGGGAAGGGACTATGGAGCTAGTCCATAGTTCTTGCTGATTAGCACCATGCACAAATGCAGGCCTGGTTCCTCAGGAAGTCTAGAAAATTTCTGGAAATTCAGATGTTTGAGCGAAACTGCCCAATTTATGCATGTTGGCTCAAAAGAGTTTTCAAACACAAAGCCAGCCAAATAAAACATTATCTTCAGGCTAAATTCAGCCCACAGGCATTTGTGAGCTCTTTCTTCAACCTTTATGGGGTCAAGTGCACATTTCCATTTCAATTATTCAGTCAACAAATATTTATTGAGCTACAGTAGCTAGGGACAACTTATCTGAGATGATGACATTTCAGATAAGCCCAAATAACAAGAGGTGGACAAGTAGGATTATGGAGGAAGAATGTATTTGTTTTCTGTGGCTATTGTAACGAATTATCACAAATTTAATGGCTTAAAACAATGGAAATTTATAATTTTACCATTCTGGAGATTAGAAGTCCAAAATGAACCTCATGTGGGTCTTAAATGGTTTAAAATCAAGGTATTGGCAGGACTTGGATTCCTCTGGAGGCTCAAGGAAAAGAATCCACTTGCTTGCTTTCTCTAGCTCTTCCTTCTCTTCAAAGTGAGCATTTTCACATCTGTCTCTTTGACTCTCTAACCTATACTTCCAGGGTCAGATCTTCTCTAACTCTGACTTTCCTGCTTCCCTCTTATAAAAACCCAAGTGATTACATTGGGCCCACCCAATAATCCAAGATAATTTCCCCATCTCAAGATCCTTACCTTAATCACACTGCAGCATCTCTTTCTGCCAGAAATTAAGAACAGAGCTGAGGGTCGAGGGGGGAGAGGGGGATATGACGACATGGGGGTGAGGGGTATTATTCAGTCTATCATAAGCCGTCTAGGAAGAGGCAACATTTGCAAGGGCTCTGGATGGGTGTCCGCTGGACCAGTGTCTGTTGGATGGAGCCTACTGGGGCAGGGAGGACATTGAGGAGGTAGCCAGGGGCCAGAACGTGTAAGGTCTTAGGTGAGGGCTTTGTACTCTATTTGTAGTGAGATAGGAACAATGGGAGACTTTTGAGTAACAGAGGGATGTGATCTGATGTCCATTTAAACAGGTGATTCTGACAAGGCAGATTTCCTTACAGGGAGTGGCAGCCACTCCCCATGAGGCCGGTTGAACAATGAGAAGCTCTCATAATCTAGCAGAAGTGGAAAGGCAAGCCCCACATGTGCAGTGTAGCACAGCATACCCCATATTTCATTTTTAACCATCCTAATCTGCCCTTTCCCTTTCCATATTGTGATTTTTAAAGGCTTTCTTTTTTCTTTTTTTAGAGCAGCTTTAGGTTCACAGCAAAACTGAGAGAAGGTACAGAGATTTCCCATATACCCTTGCCACACACATGCATAGCCTTCCCCAATATCAACATCCTCACCAGGTGCATTTGTTGCAATTGATGAACCTCCATTGACACATCATTGTCACCCAAAGCCCATAGTTTACATTAGGATTCACTCTTGGTGGTGTAGCAGCAGTGCCCTAAAAATCCTCTGTGCTCTGTCAGTCATCTTTCTCTCCAACTAACCCCTAGCAACCTCTGATCTTTTTACTGTCTCTATAGTT